ATAAATCTAGTATATAAAGATATCACTCTCAAACTTTAAGTAAAATAACATTATATTCAAATCTGTGCAATTACAATAATATATACCTGAATGCAATACATGCATATTCTGCTAAATTTATATGACAGATGATCTTGCTCAGATGATATATATGAACATTTACTCCTTTTTTACAGGCGGTTATTATTATTAAGCCCTGTGTTATATAACGTGTATTAAATCAATGAAAATATGTAAGCGAGAAAATAAGTTTCAGTAGTTAGAAATAGTCAGAAGTCAATACAAAAATTTTGAATAACATATTAGTATAACATGAAGCATTAGGTACAAATATATGTAAATTTATGCAATGGTATATCTATGGCTTACAGATATATGGGTATTTACAAGTAAAGCCATGTTATGCAAGTAAATATAAAGAAAGATGTTCATGTGTGTAACGAATACTGAAGTAAAGTGCAATTCTCTAAACAATCATGGTATTTGAGGCAATTCATTATTGCTTTGTACTGTTATTCACATAAGTGTGCCATTGGCTACTATAGTACATTTTACCCAAGTTCTAGCATTTTCTATATTTTGCTTCAAATGATGACATTTGACCTATATTTGAACATTTTGGTATTTCTTTTGGGTGAAAATACACTTAACAAGTACTTTGTAAAAATTATTTGGTATGGGAACATGCTAATTGGCATTTAGGAAGTTTTTTGTATTGCAAATGTTGTATTGTTTTATTTTTTGCTTTATACAGGTTTCAAATAGCTCATGAACATTTGTATGAAAGGTGCTATGTTTTGTGTGTACATTTGAGCCCAAAAGAATCAACTGCTTTTTTATTTTGCATTAATGATATATGAATCTGTATACTATTCAGTATTCACAAAGATTTTACAAATACTGAAATATGTAACTTTTTACCAGTTTCACTGCAGTATATCACAATATATAATGATAACATTCCATGAAATAAAGCTTAGCAAAGACATGGAGATCATGATCTTTTGATAAATATATATAACTTTGTATATGAACTAAGCAAATACTTTATTCTGTTATAATATCCATGTAGGATAGCATTTCAGTATTGTACGCATACATAGATAGAGAAATATTTTTGAATTTGAATCCCCTTGCTTTCTTAGTGCACAATATGCTGATAATATGAAATGCTAGTTTAGTCTTCACACTACTGCACTAGCCCCAGTGCTACATGTCTATGTCAAGAAAACATGAACTTTTTGATGGAAAGAGTAGCCCTTGGTGTCCAAATCGATTGTTTTGTCGTTATTATTTGGTTCAGTTCTTGGTCTCTAGCCTTTACCCACTCTGTGGTGTACATGACTCCCAGTCAGTTTTGACTTTTCTACTTTCTGTTCACCCATGGACTACCACCATCTGGAACCCATGGTTCACCTGAAAACTCTACATATAGAACTTTTTTATAGTGTACGATAACCGTTTTCAAAACACTAATTGAAGAATAACAATATATCATTTGACAATTTTAGTCTTTTGATGGTATGACATGTACGAAGCGGATAATGACAAAAACATTCTAAAAAAATTCTTGAAAAATTGAAATAATCAATCATGGACGATTTTTACACGATTCACGAACCTAGGCATTCGTCTGGTGCTGGAATAGAAGTTATAAACATTATATTTAGTAATTATAACCTCGAAAAATTGAATACGACTCTATTTATGTTAGTATCAAAGAAAATATATTCTGAATTGGACTTTTCGAAAAATTATTTCGGCCGCCATCTTGTTTTTTTCGATAAATCTACAAAACTGAAAAAGAAAAAGTGTATCTTCATCGGGCCACTCAAGGCTCACTTGTGGTTTTACGTTATTTGGAAACATGACATTAATGGCAATCGTTTAGTTAAAAAATAAAATCGGGGCAGAGTCGGCGTTTAGTCAAAATCTACGAAAAAGGGAAGATCAATTTTTCGAAAAAAAATTCAATCGGCAAGTTATACTCGATATAATTGATCAATTTCCACGAATTCGGTCTTAAAATGTTCTTCAATAAGTTCGCCAGACGTAGGTTACGAGTACTTTGATAGTTGGAGAGTATTTCGGGATGAAAATAGCCTAAATGTTTCAGCCGAAAGAAGATGCGCAGAAAACCTGCGCAGAAAACAAATATTGGTCTTTTTCACCCAGTGGCTCACTGCCCATATAGGCTATTAAGAATCACATGTTCATGTTTTAAGTGAGCTTGATAATCTAAGGTTGGATTATATGTAAAACTCAATTACAATTTTATATTTTCACCAGTTATTTTCACAAAGTTGCCTTTTGTTTTTTCAAGTTTTCCATGTTAAATTTATGATTTCCATTAATTTAGCCTGTTGTTTTCATTTACAGCCTGCTGTGGGAAATTCTAGTGAAACCTCTGTGTATGAGTTGAAAACCAATATGTTTCTACAATGACTCTAGAATACCTTTGCTTGTTTGCAATTTTATCATTCTTGGATTCACCACTTAAAATGCATAGAAATAACATACCTTGTATAGCACCTAGAGTGATAATACAGCATTGCCTTTTCTCAACATCCACTGGTCAAATGAATGATAATAGGATTGAGGCCCACCTGAAAAAAAAGAAAAATAGTAATAATTTGAAATAAGAAATTGATTACATGAACAAATATTTCCATAGCCTGGCATATAACATATGTGCGCCATTCCCAGACATTTCGAGAAGGGGGCATCATCAAAGATTTTTTGGGCTCAAAAAAATTTTGGGCCCGAAGAAGGCCTTAAGGCCCAAAAAAGTGGGCCTTGAGGCCTTATTTTTGAATTCAAGACTAAATTCTGAAGAAAATGGCCCTCAAAATTTGGGCTTTAAGGTTTCAGGGGCCCAAAATTTTTTCCCGCACGAGCACAGAATTTTTTTTCTCTGACTGGAAATTTGGCCCGCCCCCTTGATGTTTCCCAGATCCTCCCCTGATGTATGTGGATACAGAAGATAAGCCAGCCGAGCAACAACAAAAAATGGCCCTTTTGAGGACCAACTCATACTACCAAAAGAGCATTGTATTTATGAATTAGGCTAATATATCTACATAGGCTTATGATTAAAATCAAATAAGCCTACATATGTGTTGGCTTAAGTGTGAATGTTTGACTGATGAGAGACAATTTAAAAAGTATGATAATTACCTTTGATTGTGATGAGTGATCGATAGCTGCATCTCGTATCACATAACTATATCGGTAGTATATCTGAAGACCACACCTAAAAAACACATGAAACTTTCAATTTTGCACATGCTATTTATTGCAAGACTTATGCCTGGCACAACCGTCACCATGTTATTAAGTGTTTTTAAGTTTCGCAAGGATCCTGCCATGACTGTGGTATTGTTATCATGAAAGCGCTGGTATAAACGTGACAATGCTATATTATATTGCAATGCATATCATGACCGTGGTAATGTAAAAGCCTTATTTTTACAGTGACAATGTTCACATTCTTGAATGAAATTAGAATTTCATTTTGTTGAAATGAATTATGAGTTAAAGTAGTAGTACATCCGGTAGTTGTCTAGATTTACATATTTAAGGTAGATAAACGATGAAAATTTTCATTACAGTATTCTCATGCTACTAAATGTAATTTAATATAACCATTGTTACGGTCATACTGTGCTTTAACGTCATTACCACGGTCATGACAGGTTTTACAACCATTGCCTCAGTCATACAAGGCTTTTACATTACCATGGTAATGACAGGCCTTGCAATATAATATATCAATGTCACGGTCATATCAGGCTTTAACGTTACCACGGTCACGACAGGCCTTGCAATATAATATAGCATTGTCGGTATACCTACCCCCATAAATGTGGGGTTATATTGAGTTTTTTTTAAATTTAAGACATTTGTTTCTCAAAATAATTATTTTGACAAACAAATGTCCTAAATATAAAAAAACATCAAAATAACCCCACATTTATGGGGGTGGTACTACGGTCCTGGTAGGATCCTTGCGAAACTTAATAAAAACACTATAACATGGTGACGGTTGTGCCAAGCATAAGTCTTGCAACAGATAAGGTAATAAATTTTGACGGTTGTGCCAGGCATAAGTCTTGCAACAGATAGGGTCTCCAATTTTGTTGAAAATCGGATCAAGAACTTTGGCTTTTAGTACAAACTCCTTCAATTTATTCGATAAATTGGTAAACCGGAAGTCATATTATCGGTTTTATTTCGTATATATCTCGAAAGATACCTGATGCCCCGTCAAAACTACTTGAAATTAACGAAAAACGATATGTTTTGAAACGAATTTCAACCATTTTGAACACCAAAGTTTAATGGCCCGCTGAAGATATGGTTTGCAGCGTACAACCACGTCAAGGAGGATTGGCTCCCAGGGTTCCAACTCTATATTCTGCCATATATGGAGATGTCGTGATTACAAAATTCGAATTCAAATAAATAGCTGCTATTTTTGTCACTTCAAAATTTGAATCTCGAGTTTCGGTTTTATTTCCAAACAAAAAATTCCAAAACACAGAAGAAGTAATCGCGATATTAGTTCAAATCTTTTGGACTGTTGATTATGAATTTATAGTCCGAGTAATAATGTCAGAAAATAACGACATTCTGACATTTTCATTGTTGGAAAATATCGAGTTGCGTCCCTGTGAGCCAATCCTCCTTGCGCTTGCAACCACGCATAGTCTACTTCATCATTCCATTTAAACATGTGTGGGATCTGGTAAACAATAAAAGTGTTGTGACACCCTAATGGCTCAAAACGACACAGAATCAATACATTAATGTTTACCGATGGTGTTGTATTGTTTAGAAGACAGTAGAAGTCATTAAAATAGTAAAATTTATCACAGTTATTCTAAAACTGATTAATTAATCCGACCTTGGTATTATTAAACAAATGAACAAATGTTACTAATGAAATCGTCAATACAATTAGAGGGTTTTATTTTTGTGACATATTGTGCATTAAAATACTTTCCTATAATTTCGTCTGTATCGGGTCATACATTGCATTTTTTATTCTACCCATGAAAAGTTTTTACCAGTCAGTTGTGCAAACTCTCTGTTTTGATCCTTAAAATGACTAGCAAGTTTCTTCACCAGTTCTGGATGAATTTCTGGATGATCGTGGTGCTTGTTTGGACGGAGCATACATCCATTATATTTACCCATGAATCTTCTACTCCAGAATTCTGGTTTGACACAGAATTGCTTCGAAGTCTCATCAAAATATAACATATTTTCATTCACTACTTTTGGGAGGTTTAAAAAGATTTCAAATTTTTTGATAACACCAATAATATCACTTTTTAGCTCATCAGTAGATACAACCAATATTTGTTCTCTGGGGAATACCTCCAAGTAGCGTTTGAAGTAAGTTGCGTAGTGCCCCCTGTAAATGTAAGGACAGCCTTCTGTGTCCAGTGTACCATTTTTATGTAAAAGGCACTCCTCGTAAGTTCTAGTTTTGTTGAATACCAATGTCTGTAACAAATGGTTTGACATTGTCCTTCGTATAGGGTCACATGCTATAATGGCCAACTTAACATCTTTGTTAGCATTGTAAATATCTCTTGGGTCTGCATTATCAAAGTAGCCAGGAGTTTTTTCATAACCAATCTGAGTAGGATCAGTAAGAGGCATTTGACTGATATAGTAATTCAGTCCTTTCTCATATTCCGTTTTCTTGTCAAAAAAGTGTATTTCAGTACCTGGAGTTCGCACTAAGTTTGGGTGAATCTCTAAGAAAAATGACAAAGCAAATGTGCCACATTTGTGTATTCCTATGATAATCAAACCAGGAAGTTTCTTCGTCTCTGGAAGTACCTCTTGTTTGTAGTGAGTTGTATAAAGGTTAGATGTATTCATAATGCTGCTTGTTCTTGTGTTTGTACTTTTGTCAACGTGTATCGAATTATTTCCATCATTCCATAGCCTTTCCCGATCGTTGTGTTCAGCTGGTTCATTTTTATGATTATGATTATCGTTTTCATTATTATAAGTATCTCCCGAATTAACATGTTTAATATCATTAGTTCCTTGAAGGTCCATTTTTTCAAGTTTAGCACCAGCGTCTTTAAGAATTTGTTCAGTTTGTATTACATTTACTGATGCTACTTGGTCTAAATTCGCCCTCAAACTTGCACTTTGTATTTCATCTATGGTAATTTCTTTGATGTCTTTTAAGGGCTTGTATTTGTGTAAAATACAAAGGAGAAGCACAAATCCACACACTATTAATACTCGTTTTGTTATTTTACGTCTTATCATTGCTAATTCGAGCTGAATTTCATTCTCTCAGAAATATGAAAAAGTGTTTGATACTTTCTAGAGTGGTGTATTTTTACTACCTTAAATCAATTTTTTGAATTTCGACTGGCATTTGAAGGCTAGTACTGGTTGTCAATTATTGTATTGATTTTGATAATTTAATGCCAGTACCATCGTATTGACTTATTACTATTTAATTACATTTGGGTGTTCCATAATTTTCAGTAGATTCAACTGCAGCCAGGCAAATTAATTAGTGCCACATGAATCTTATAAGAGGATCTTGTGGTTTAAAAACGTACATACTAGGCCACCTAGAGTTAAAGGCAGAATCATATATAGATAGCAGTTTCATTCATTTTCTAAAAATCCTCATATATTTCTTACTTTATTCCAGCACACTAGATTTTTAGTTTTATGCATTCATCTGCCCAGACAAACGAAGCGATGGATGGTTCACCATATCCCCACCAAGCCGTATTTGTCGGTATGGTATAATTAGTCTGTAAATCTAGGGGGAGTTTGACCACAGCAAAACAATTTATATGGACATTATGAAATACTTATAGTATAGTATATTCAATAATGGCATTTTAAATTGGAGTATCACAATTTTCTTTACTATATCAAACAGATTATTATTTCCTCAAAATCCATGGTAAATAATAAAAATCAAATAATTAAGAATCCATGGGCAAAAATGTGTAAATTCGGTAAAACAACCAACTCAAAATATTAAGATCTATATCACATTTTATTCTTCATATTTCTATTCTCATAACAACAAATACACATGATGATTTGGTTGATAAAGTCATGTTTATCAAAACAATATCAATACTTGATATTCAAAACTGTAACTGTAACTGTAACTGTCTCTTTATGCATTATAATAGTTTCCATTCATTGTATCTATTCTATTTCATACTTTATCCGTATCTCTGTATATTGTTCATTGTAATTTGCACATTGTTTAAAAACACTAACTGCTTTATCACACGTCAGCTCTTCAAACCATACACTCTGGCATTGTCTTCAGTTTCACTGAGCAAATATTATTTGTCTAAAATTGTCAAATTTTATTTCTTCTACACTGGATTGAATGACTATGCAGTGGCATCATAATATACAACTAGGCCCATTTCATCATGATTTTTCCTATATCTAGACCTATTCCATTATGATTCCCCTTTCAACTACGCCCATTCCAACATGATCCCCCTTTCAACTAGGCCCATTTAAGGATGATTCCCCTAAATACTGGGTAGTGTTCTCTAGTATTTCTAATATCCTCCCCTATATCCACCCCTACCTCCCCTAAAGCCCCCACCACCCCCACCTCTGTATCCACCTCTAAATCCTCCTCCACCCCCAGGGCCTCCTCTAAATCCTCCCCTAAAGCCTCCTCTGTCTCCATATCCACCACGGAATCCACCTCGATCACCACCAAATCCACCTCGATCACCACCAAATCCACCACGATTACCAAATCCTCCCCGTGCGCCACCACTGAAGTCTCCTCTCATCATCTTGTTAGGAGGACCTCCGCCTCCAGCTCTCCTGCAAATAGACATAAGCCATCAATAAAAATTACATGAAGTAACAGGGAGCAATGTGGATCAGCTGTTGTTAAAGCATGTTTAAAAATAACATGTCTCTGTAATTCAATTTTGATCAGTAAACATGGAAAAACATGCACTAGAAAAAAACTACTAGCTTATTGCAGATAATCACCCAGGCTAAGCCATTCATTTCACATTACAGGGTGATCCAGGTTGAAAGATAATGCCATATCAATACCTTTTAACGAGTCCTCTCTAAACTTGGTACAGATGTTTTCTCAACATTACTGAGATATCACCTTAAGATTAGTGATTCATCTTTATGAACAAAACTATGGTTCCTATGGTGACTCAATGTGACATCACCCCAAGCCAAATACTTTAAGTAGAGAATATAATCAGATCTTACCCTCCAGTGAAGCCCCCTGCTCCCTGATACTCCAGTTCATGTCTGGCTGCGCTGGGTTTTGATAGCTGGCGGATTACCTGTATTATACATATAAAGTAGTTAAAAGCATGCTGTAAATGTTGAAGTCAAAAAATCTGTATTTCACAATATTCCAAAGAAGCAAAATACATCTCTTTTAATGGCACAGCATTTTCTGTATAAATTACAACAGTTTAAACAGTTTGTCAACAGAAAATGAAGACTTACAGTGGATGTTGGAGGATGTTATATAGATGACGTCAGTGTTATATGAATTCTGAATCAAATGATGTGTTACATTATATATATGCCTCGTGGGCAAATTAGACAGTTACCATTATTGAACACATATACCATCTTATAATTTCTTACCTGCATCAGTTTTTGTTCATGTGGTAAGGGTTCCGCAACAGACTCTGGGTCCTCTGTAGCATGAACGATAAGAGATTCTAAAGCAGGCCTCAAGGCTATGGTTTTAGCTGCCGTATCATAATCAACTTTCAAATTGATCCTGAAATTATATGTAACGATGGTCAAGAAGAGAAAAGAATAAGTGATATCTGCTTCAAACGTGAAGAATTGTTTATCAATATTTAGATGGATTCGGGTTGCTTTGTGTCTCCGATTGTTGCCATTTATGATAATTACTTTCAAGTTTATCATTGTTCTTCATTAAATTGGCCCATACCATCCAAAAAGTATCTATTTCTTTTTGTATGTTTGTGTAATACTGAAAATAAGACCCTACCAATCATCTAGGTATAGAAGTTCATTCTCAAACTTCACGTTGCGGTTGCCGAATATCATCAGCTGAACTGGAGAAACCATTGTCATCTGTTTACATGACACAGCACGTGTGCGGATCTATAATTCAATCAATGACATAAAATGATTACACACTGCCCTAAATCTGTATGACTGTATAAAAAAATATAAATATGTTATTAATTCGAAAAGATGAACACAATAATGTAATTCTAGTTTCATTCAACACTGTTTCTTTGGATGGTAGATCACTTATTAGAAGATTGCACAGATGATTTTCCTTAAGACTGTTTTTGCTACCAATTATTTTTTACATGTACTGATTCCCCTTGGCTATTGCACTTACTTATCGAGCCATAGATGGATCGAACAATTTTTGTTAAAACTCAATACAGCATTGGTTAAACGTTAGTGTTTAAGAAATTTTATACCATTGGCAATTTTTTTTTATTTAAAAAAAATAAATAAATAAAATTTTTGTTAAAACTCATCTCAACATTGTGCATGTTACACAAGAATGACCAATAAAACAAATACAATGATATTGCATCATTTTCAGATATTCCTCCTAAATTTCTTGAGAATAAATCTGGAAAGTCTTTTTACCTTTTCACCAAATACAAAGAAAGGTGAAGGGAATGTTATTTCCCTGCTATCACAGTTGACTGATGATTTATGGACAAGTGCAGCTTTACTTTCTTGAGTCAACACTTTTCGTTTCTCTTTATGGTAGCAGACATTGGGGTAGAGGCCCATCACAAGCAAGGAGATCACCTGTGTCAAGAATAAAGAAATAAATCAAGTTATTTTCAGATTCAATCTTTTTTTTGATTTGATTGATTGTGATAAACTAATTGATACCTATCATTCTTTTCACTTTGTTAAAAAAATATGAACAGAATTCACGATTACTTCAAAAATGTAGAAATGCTATGAGGTCAGATACTATCTAGCAATTGCCAAAAATCATTAGGAGCAAATCCTTATATAGCAAAAACCCAAGGTTATTCATCATACCTCACTAGATCAGATGTAATTTCAATAACTCTGCAAAAAGGTTTAAACATTGACTTTAATTTTGTAATTCACAAACTCTATAAAAGATTGCCAATTTGTGTACTCACCACATCTAGTTTGAAATCCGGCCCATTATAACTGAAGACTTGAGGAGCAAGACTTTCCTCTGGGAATCCTGCATTCACAAGGATATCTCTAAGCTGGTTCTACAATACAATACAATACAATACAATGCACATGTAACTGTTTATTTAATGTTTATACACACAAAAAGTAGATATTGCCAATCATGAATTCATCTCATCTCAACAATTCTCATATATATGTAATACATTCTACACATGTATTATGTAATAATACATAAGATATGAAGTTTGGAGCTGCAGTTGTCTCATGTCCAAGCATGGTCCTAATTTTATTTGACATGGCATTGACTGCAATAACAACCCTACACTTCATAGGATTTTTTCCATATTCAAAACAGGGTTCAAATAGAAAGAATGACATTTCTTTGTTTCTTTTCACCTAACATGTTACCTATGAGGTCAGATACTATCTAGCAATTGCCAAAAATCATTAGGAGTAATTCCTTATATAGCAAAAACCCAAAGGCTCTTCATCATACCTCATATAATATTATACACTGTAATAACCTGCATGCTTCAATACTGGTGAATATACACTTGTATGTACCTTGTTATTAAATCTATAAAATAAACCTATGTTGGACTGAAATAATATAGATTTTAATTAATAACATACGTTGGCCACAAAGGTTGAAAACTCAAAGGTTAATTTATCTCAAACTTATAGGTCGACATACCTCAAACCCAAAGGTTAACATACATTGGCATCACAGGTTAACATATCTCAAACTCAAATATTAACATACCTTGGCCTCACAGGTCATCCTAAGTGTATTCATGGAGAGTGACTTGTTGTTGCAGAAATACTCCTCAGCCTGTTCCCCTCCAATCCTGCAACATGCAATCAAGTGTTCAACATTCAATCAAGTGTTAAACGTTCAAATAAGTTTACTGATGTACAATCAAGCATTAAACATTCAATCAACATTATTAAATGTACAATCAATCAAAGGACATTCAATGAAGTTTATCAAATGTACAATCAAGTACTGAATAGTTGATCAAGTTTCTTAAATGTACAATCAAAATTTGAACATTCAATCAAGTTAAATGTTCGAGTGCAAGCACTGAAAATTCAAGCAAGTGTGAAACATTCAGTCTTATGTATTAAATATGTGTACAATCAATTGTGTAGTCTGAAATCTTGATGATGAAAATGCAATCAATTAGGTGCCATACAATCAAGTTGTACAATACAATTTAGTTTGCAACATACAATCTGATTGGTCAGTTCTTGTGCTGTACCAACTACGTCTCGTTCCAATACGGAATTTCTCGAGCAGAATATATCCTGTATTGCACTTCAAATCATTCAGTAACTTATAGTACGGGGATTGAAAATTACGATTTATTACAGGGCTCGTTACAGGCACCATACGAGCAAGTATGGGGATCAAAAATTACGAGCTATTATGGGCCTCGTAATTATACGCTATTACAAGGGTCTAAAATTACAAGCAATTACGGGACTGGTAACAAGGCCCATATGAGGTTGAATAGGGCCCATTGACCCAACAAACCTCGTACGGGATCTGATGTAATTTGCCGTGTACTCAGTTTCTCTTCACAAAAAATTCTCAAAAACTGACATGGTCAATGACTTATCAAATATTGAATGTCTTCATTTTGACAGGGATTGTCAATTTTTTCTCATCATAACAATTAAAAAATAATAAAAATGATCGATGTCGTAAACATTTTAATAGGTCATTAATCAATATTTTTGAAATAACCGACAAAAGCTAATTATGATAATCACCAGAGTGATTGACTCCATCAATTAAACACTTTATCAAACACCCTTAACATGTTAGTTTGATGGTATAAAGATATATTTCACTTGGTATTGTTTTTTTTTCTAATTTGATCTGGTTCAACATTTCAACAAGAAGGTTAGATTCTATCATCGACATAGCAAAATCCAAGGTTCTCCTTCATGCCTCATATCAAACAAGTGGAATATTTATTGTGTATGCAGGACACTTATAGAGTACATGTTGAAATATGTATCAAAATTGAGATATGATTTGTATTCAATAGAATATTCAATATCCACTTAAAGCTGAACAGTAATTGTGGTATCAAATTGTACTTAAGCTGTTAAGAGAGCATCTGATAAGGGACCTACCTCGCTTCCTCCCAAGACTGAAAAGCATTTAGGAGTGCCACGTGATCACTACATCGTGTCCCCGCCATGTTTTTATGCACCCAGCCAAGACGACGTCTATCCGTGGGGGTGACGAATGGCTCTTGAAAGGTGGTACTGGCTGCGATTGTACACATTGCATCTCCACAATAGAATATGCAACCGTATATAATCATCTTTCCAAGCCTTGGCTCTATTGGCATTTTAGCTAGAAGTTTACCCAGGCTGGTGAGCTCATCATTTCTGTCCAATGCTCGCATTTCTGAAAAAGAGATCATAAGACACAGGTTAGTTAGTTAATGAAGACACGGAATAAAATCTTGTGCTAAGGACTGGTGTGAATACTAGAGATGATACAGACTAGTTTTGAAGATTCCTCATGGCAATTCAGTCCACACCATTGAACCCATGACCCCTAGGTTCCTTGAGTGCTCTATCACTTTAAAAGAAGTAAAATACATAGCCAGAGTAAAAGACTTGAACGAGACTCCACTAAACCAATTGAAACACAAAGTAATGTTTAAAGGGAAACATTTAGACTAAAGGTGGACACTTGGACTTTAGGAAGACCAAGAGGGAAACATCTAAACTTAAGGTGCACACTTGAACTAAGTTGGGCCAAGAGGGGAACGTTTAAAGATGGACACTTGGACTTCAGAAAGACCAAGAGGGAAACATCTAAACTTAAGGTGGAAACTTGAACTTAAGTTGGGCCAAGAGGGAAACATTTTAAGATGGACACTTGGACTTCAGGAAGACCAAGAGGGAAACGTCTAAACTTAAGGTGGACACTTGAACTTAAGTTGGGCCAAGAGGGAAACATTTGGCTTAAGGTGGACACTGGGACTACAGGGGAAACATCGAAACTTAAGGTGAAAACTTGAACTTAAGATTGCCCAAGAGGGAAATGTTTAGACTTAAGGTGGACACTTGGACTTAATGAAGACCAAGAGGGGAAAGATTTAGACTTCAGGCGACCCAAGAGCAGGAACAGTTAGGCTTAGATGGGCTAGATTGGGAAACACTCTAGGTGGAATATAAAAATTTGAACTTGGAAGACGACATTACTCAAGCAAGTATGTCAAATACTAGTATTACATGTTCTGTCAAATACAGCTGTTACAACCTATAAAGTAGACATATGGGAAATATTATTCTATACTAATCTTCTTTACATTAATCATTCCAAAACACTTTGTACAAAGATATCTAGCAGGGGAAGAATTACTCCGCGGAACCCTTTCGGCCATGTCTCTTGCCAGTTTGAAATGGTTGAGAGCTTACTCATTGGAAAATGATCTATAGGTTCTTAAATACGCTGTAGAAGCGCAAACTTTATGTGGTGCGCGAAAGCTATCATATTCACGTCAGAGACGCACGTACAATGAGAGTTGCTATGCAACGTATTGACCCGGATATAACAAGAAATGAGACGCCACGACACTTCCCAAAATGGAAACCGGAATGTGCACGCTCCGCACATTTCTCCCAATATCTTCAGTTGTATTGAGGTAAGATTCAAATGAACTAATTATTTGTATTCCTGGGATCAATAGCTTTAGAATGATATCAGATTATATGGACATTTCTGGATATTTTTTATAAAAAAATCCACTTGAAGTTGATCAAAATATGTACACGTGTTTTCTTACGGCAAGCGTTCGTTGAATTATACGAGCGTCCCTTTGGTTTTGGAAGATATCCTTTCGTCTATGTTAGGACCATGGTATGGTTGAACAAATGTCAAAATTTGATCAATATTGCATTCAATCTGTAAAATTTATCAATAATTTTGTGGGTTATTTTTGGTCCATTTTTCCGAATGATTTTTCAGTTTTCAGCGTCTGTGTGCTAAGGATGTTTATGGTTTTTTTTCATATTCTTATTTCTTATGGAGCATGGTCCTATCTCATTGCATGTGCAGTTGCTAAGCCCAGCTCCTTGTATTTTTCTTCATCGAGCGGACTTTATATGGTCTGGGATCACAAATATGGGTCCACGAGCCACTTTGACTCCTTTCAATACCAAATATGGTAATGAATGAATCTAAAATGTCGATAAAATAAAAGTAAGGATGTGTACCAATATTTTCCTTCGATATCGAAGTCAAACTTTCAATATTTCTTTCGCAAATTCAATTGTCATATCCTTGACGATGCTAAAAATGTGAATCTTGGCCTTTTTTCTAGATCAATTTCCTTCATAGATCTAGACATGTTAGAAGTACTTTACTAGGTGATGAAATTACTTGAAAAATAAATTAGGCCTATTCAAATGACAAACATAAATACCAAAATCAATTTGACGTATCTAAACCAAATCTTTAATTATCTGCGGTAGGCCTAATTATGTTATTTTGGATTTTTTCCTCTCCCAAGAAATTTTTGAAAAACTGATTGAGTGCTTTTGAAAGTAATGTAGACCCATTATATTTACTTTCTAATTTGGAGGAAAAATTGTTATCTTAGGAAAATATTTACAAATATGACCTTTATTTGAAACCCTTGCTTGACTCCCCCCCCCCTAAAATAAATTTAGATTTGTATTGAACTCAAATACTCAATTAGGTTAGATTTTGGTCCATTAATAATATATATACATGTATATGTGATTCTTGCAGATGAAAGAATAAGACATGACAGAAATTAGAGACTTAGGCCTATACTAGAACTAGAAGGTTTTCGATTGATGTCCATGCAATCCCAATGATGAAGATGGTGGAAAAATGTCAACACCAATGGATACACTACTTCCATTAAATTCATAGAGGTTTGTAAACTAGATTTCATGTAATATATATTTACTAGCAACACTCTTAGCCTAGTAGGGGTTCTTAATGACCATTAAAATTCATTATTTTAATAGGTCTGAAAGTATGAAAGATTGGGAATTAAAAACTCTAGAAATATCCCAGTCAGTTTACTCATGCAAATAATTTGTGGTAGGTCATGAAACACCCTAAGACATTTAAGTATTTTTAACTTATTCCAAGGGCGTTACAATACCCGGGAATTTATCGGTTCGTGCAGTACTTGTTTGTGATAGCGCCCTCTGTAGGTCACTGTGCTTATAGCCTACAGTAATACGGGGTAGGATATCGGGAATTCGGTCAGTTTCTATCCGTCGATTTCGCTATGAATTGAAGCAAGTGTGACCACTTTATCCACTTAAACAATTTGATAATTGATTAAATCTTTAAACAAAATCGATAAACACGTTATACACTTCCTATCTCCTTAGAAATTAGCATGTATTTATGGATTGTGTTTTCGAACAAGGCTCGACCCATACCAATAGGGAAATCCTTATGCTAATTAGTATGACGTCATATTTTCCTGGGGAATCCTAGATTTCAAAGCCTCAGTCTGTTATTGTGTCAAATGTAAACGCTCTTTTGCAGACAGAAAATTGACAGATTAGCTTTTAACTTTCAGCTTTGATGTTTAAATATTCTGTATTTCTACCGGACTTCTTGCTGAATATCATATAATGTTATAACTTGATTTAGACAATTGCCTGATTGATCATTCTGAAATTTTGATTGTGATTCATGATTGATTGGCAAGAAAAATAATTCCTATTGTTTTCCAGCGAAGTCAAAATGTTACAGCATGAGTTATAATGTCGAGTTTGCATCATGTTAAATTCTGCTAGTGATTAGAAGTCCATGCACAAGCATACACATAAGAGACAAACACACCCAGGCTCCAGGCCGTGGATGGAAATATAAAACTATTTAAGGCACAAACTGGTATTAATAGACCGATATGTAGTGTCTGCCATGTATTGAAGGTAAACCAATCTGCATTATTAATGTTTCTTCTATCAATACATGGATTGTGCAATAGAAAAGCAATGGCACAATCAAAAATGTGCATATCAATCGTGAATATCTCTCGGTTCAAAGCTTATTTCCAACAGAATCGTGTCAAAATATGTGTCTGAGTAACAGTTATACATTATAAGATCGCAAACTCTTACCAATTATCAGCCGAATGGCTCATTTTCAACGAAATGTCCTTAAGACAACAGCCCTGGGTCGCGCCTGAGACCAAAAACTACTTCAAATAGCCCTCCCCTAATTATATTGGATAATCACATTTATGCGTGCGCGCGCAGCTCATCCACTGAACGAAACGCCACTTCCCGCTGAAATCACCGGGTATTGATCTTTCCCTTGCTTATTCTAGGAAAGACAAGTCAAATACTATAGGTGTCCTTTGTTAGTTAGAGGGGAAAATATTGGTTACCCATCCAGCGCTCTTACTAGTAAATTATTCAGTGTTACTGTAACAATTAGTCATAACATTTTTTCAAATTCATTCCATTAAGAGATATTGGCTCATTAAAGGGACATTCCTGGCCAGACCATTTCTCTCACAATATGATAGCTATAACCATATAATCGTTTCCATAATATTAGCAAAATGCAGACAATTGGTTTGATATATTCAATGTTGATCAATTGTCTAGATACATGAGATAGAAATACTTGATTTACATCATTAAATATTCAGAATTCAATAAGTTAAATATGAAAATTGATCAACTGATGAACATTCAAGTTTAATGGAGCTTTCTGTTATTCCTGCCATGCATGCTATTTACCCCAAGTTAGCCACCTGGTGGTGAAACTGGCATTAGTATTATTAAAAAAATGCAGTGCTTTTTCAAGTAGGGTTGGTTTATATTAAACTTAGAATTAAGGAAGACATTTTACACATCTATTATAAAATTTTGAAAAAAAGCTGAGGTCAGTTAGCTATATTAAAGGGGCAACAAGGACTCTAGAGAGAAATTTCAAAATTTTTTATTTTTCTGAGCTATCAGGTCAATATTTGGCTTAACGTCTTCTTTGACATACCTATTTTCTGAAAATGTATGGATAAACTATCAATTCCAGCATCAAGAAGTGTAAATTCAGTTCAAAGCTGCTATAAACAGATAAAGGGAGTCACACTTATAAATTTTTAAGATTCACCGCGTTTCAAGAGGAATATCAGCTGAAATAATGTTCATCCAGGGGGTTTCTTTGTAGATTATAAAAACATGTTAGTCTTGATGAAATATCCAAACTCAAATATATTTTGACACTGGTCGATGATCTGCACTAATTGTTCCACCTTTGACCGAGGGAGATATGTCTAACTTCTAGAGATAACAACATATGTTTGAATTGATGGAAATTGTGTTGAGACCATTTGTAGGGCACATATTGTATGTTAAAAAGATATTTCAGCAGTGATGTCTCAAACAGAGAAA